AATGTGGGTTTTCATTTTTTTCCATTTTATTTAATACATTGATGTAAAAATAGGATTGATCCCATAAAATATTTAAGTAGTATGAAAAGATTAACAGAATGAATACGTTTTCATACTGAATAACAATCCTAATAGATCAGTGTCTATATATAAACTTAATAGGTTGATCATGTGAAAGTAACAATGTTCTATATTTCCTTGAATTCTTTCATTTTATTGAAATATCATTTGAAAGCTTAACCTTTAAATGGAGAAGAAAAAAATGAATGAAAGTAGGAAATTTCTCAATTTTCATGTATAATCTACAATATTGACTATGGATGAATTATTTCAGTGAAAATAAACATTTTTTCTATAAAAAAAATACACTTCACAGTGTGATAGTCCCATCATGTAGAGTTTATTATTCTCGACCAATAAAAAAACCAGTTTTCTAGGACCTTACAACTTCAAGTTACTGAAAACATTCTAGTAGTATTGTGGTGTATACTATTTATGTTGATAGATGTAAGTAGTATGTAATATCAATTAGAACTGGAATGTTTGTCAAAAGAGAATTGAGAAGATTGAATTGGAGAGAACAGAAAAGTATTGTAATAAAAACAGGATTATAAGAATCATAAAGGATGTAAGGAGCAAGTGAAAGAAGATGTATAAATGATGAATTTGATGTATGATTTTCACAAGTTACTAAACCACTGTGTGACTGTACATTAGAAAACAATTCATTTTTCCACACCTGAGTTCGTGTTCATTAAAGTATATTTTAATCGTTTTCACTTGAATATTTCTATCGAATTATTTTAATCACTAATTGTTTTCTGTGTATGAAATTTGCTGAATATTTTGAATGTATAAAAGATGAGTAGTGAACATTAATTCACTTAATATTGTGTACTTGAATCTTCCCATTTATGTTTAGGACTGCAATTGATCAATCTCTTATTGGCATATGTGCATCCTGTACGGATTGCCTCGATATTGCCTTAATTCACAAGTATTATAAACAAAGTTGAATAGTGGCTAGCATCACTGGGAAGTTTTAATTAAACAATAACAAGTAAATTTAAACTTCATCTCATTGCACAAGCAAGTGGCTGTCATGACTCAATAGCTAAATGGGTAACGCGATGGTGTTTGAAGTGAAATATAATGTGTTCGAGTGGTGGAGTGAACATCAACTCTGAGATGCAGGTATATCCAGTTGGCGAGTCCCAAATGGAATGAAATGTGCTTCCTGTATTTCACTGCTAGCTACCATCCGTCTTTGCTTAGAAGTGTACATAAGTTTTAGAAATTTCATTCCTATATACCAATGAAAAATGTAGATAAGCGTATAATTTATTTTTTCTCAAGTTAATGTAACTTTTATAAAACAACCCACTAGATGTTGACTTGTAAATATTTACAATCCAATCATAACATAGTTTGAATAACTTGTATTGTTCAAAATTTAAATATTAGTATTAACGACGTTATTTTGGTAGATTTACCCAAAAGATTCCTAGTAGGATATATATATATATATATATATATATATATATATATATATATATATATATATATATATATATTAAGATGAAACCTTTGTCAAGAGCTTTCTGATCTTTAGTGGTTGTGTATCTCCAGTCGATCAGTGATGTAAACTAAAATATTCCACAGTCTCCATAACACCACCTATACTGATTGCTATCTTTATCTATGACAAGAGTGCTTTCAGGTTTTCCATGGTGGTCTAGCTTCAATTGACTCATTAATTCAACTATTAAATTACTATAATGTCCACAAAATCCCTCTCTGATTGTAATATTAAGTGTTCTACGTAAAGACAAGGATTGACAAAACAAGGACAGCATTCCTACAGTTGAAGAACATATGGAACTGAAAACAACTATCAAACAACATCAAAGTCACAATCTTCATTAAGAACGTCAAGATAGTTCTACTGTAAGGAGATGAAACTTGTAGAAAAACCACAACCACCATCAAAATAGTACAAGTATTTATGAACAGTTGTCTACTGAACATACTCAATGTCCGTTGACCGGATATCATGAGCAACAGTCTACTGTAGGAGAGAACAAACCAGCTACCATCTGAAGAGGAAATTAAGAAAAGACGTTAGAGGTGGATAGAGCATACATTACGGAAATCATCAAACTGCATCATAAGGCAAGCCCTAACTTGGAATCTTGAAAGAATACGGAAAAGTGGAAGACTAAATAACATATTGCTTCGGGAATAGGAAGCAGGCATGAAAGGGATGAATGGCAACCGGAAAAAACTGGAAAGGATTGTCCAGGACAGAGTTGGATGGGAAACGCTGGTGAGTGACCTATGCTTCTCCACGAGGGGTAGCAAGCATAAGTAAGTAAGTAATTAAGTAAGCAAGTAACACCCTAGCAAGAGATAAAGTCTTCATTGTTTAACTATAGATATCTTAACGTTTGTGTGCGTTTAAAAATACATATAGTTGAAAATACACTACATCTATTAAAGGATTGTTGAAGTTAGGTTATCTCTTATAGTGTCTTTCTTAATAACGGAGAATACAACAAACTAGTCAAACACTTCTGATTAAATATCACCATAAACTGGCCTTAGCTAATCAACCATTGAATAACCCTTTCGTTTGTTCCCATAGATTTATTTTCCAATTACCAATATAATGTGACCGTCATTCAACGTTATCAGTCATGATTGTCTTATTCCAGACATGATGGAGTGCCACATATCACGGGTGCATAAAGACTGTTCGATTTGTAGATCTATAGAGTACTTTATAGTACTTTTGTTGTAATATCATGCCATCTATCGAAATTAAATCTTCAAATACCTTAGTGAACGCACTGCCTATAAACCTCTGAGTTTATATCTAACGATTTAAATCCCCAACTTCTGTCCACTCGTTAGCATTCATTACGGTTGAGTCCCTTAACAGGATATATATATATATATATATATATATATATATATATATATATATATATATATCAGAATATTTGCTTCTTTTGATCGGTCTGTGTCGAATTGTTATAAGAAACAATTATGTTAATTGAAAAATGATAAGTATTATTTATTTTAAATATTGAAATGTTTAAATCGTCAGTATAGGGTTGTGGATATTGTTGGGATTTTCGATTGAGATCGTGAATCATTCAATGTTAGACTACCATTGGAAATCTGGAAGCAGTGGACAACCGTTTCGTCCTAGTGGGGAACTCTTCAGCAGCGCGCATCAACGATCCTGTATGCGGGATTCAGACCCTAACCTTTAGTCTCACTCGTGAACGCTTAACTTCTAGACCACTGAGCCGGAATCAAACGGTGCTATTGTCTAACTTCAACTAATCCAAGATACTGCGTAACTATCTTCTATTGTCTTCGGTGGATAATAGTGTTGTTACAACACCAATCTAAAGATAAGCTAACTCCTATTACTGTTGAAGTCTTCGTCTGTAATGCAAAATACTTAAATACTAACTGGTATGTTATAGGTCTATCAATTCAAAATGTAATTAATTTATGCAAAATATCAAGATGTATTATCTCATATTGAGAATAAACGTATTATTTAGAATTTAGTGAAATCCAGCATGGTCGAATTCGTTCGTTTATTTTTATTCACTTATACTAATGTATATCTTAAATACCAAAGTTGACTTTTTGTAATTATGTTGAACAAAGTATTGTCTGGTTCGTACTCTGGTTCTTTATTTTTTGTCATGAATCCTATATGTGGTATAAAGTTGACCGGACTGAGTATAACGTATCAGTCGAGTATCCAGCCTGTTGTAAGCATAAATCTTGGCCCCGGTTGTATCTTCGTATAATAATAGAATAGTGTGGCAAAAAGGAGAAATAATTTTCATTTACGCACTATATCATAGTTCCTATGTTATCAGTAATCCTCGGTTTAGATTTAAGTCAAAATATAGATTTACTATTTTGGTAGTGTTACGTTCTATGAACTGGATAGGTCAATTATAACCCCCTTATTATTCTTCTGTACAATATTATTACACTTGAGATTTAAATGAGCTCTATGAAATTATTATAGTATGTTTATGAGTATGAACTCCTGAGGAGTCCAGTACCAGCATGAAACATATCTGCATTTCTTCTGTGTTTTTGAACAATAGTCTAACTGAAATCAGTCAGTGATGAATACAGCCTACATAATCTCCAAAAGAAAGTCAATATTATTTTAATGGCCTCAATTGTAGTAACTTGTTTCCTAGTATTTTGTCAATTCCTAATCTATTTCCAATCAGTTTAATTATTCTATCAGACCAACTACTAGAGCTGAACCAAAAAGATAAATCAAGTCGCTTAATCAAATAATAGTTGAACTAAGACAACATTACACAATTAAATGTGTCTGATATAGAAACAAATATTTTTTATCATTCAAATTACTTCGGAATAACAAATATAAATAACTGATTAGCGTCAAATGATAATAGTTCTACTGTATGGAGCGGAAACTTGGAGAAATGCAAAAGCATTCATCCAGAGGATACAAATATTTATTAACAGTTGCGTACGCAAAATACTTCGGATCCGTTGGCCAGACATTATTAGCAACAACCTACTGTGAGAGAGAACAAAACAGATTACAGTGGAGGAAGGGATTAGGAAGAAGCTCTGGGAGTGGATAGAACACACATTGAGGAAAGCACCGAACTGCGTCACAAGGCAAGCCCTCACATGGAATCCTCAGGGCCAAAGGAGAAGAGTAAGACTAAATTACACGGTAATAGAGACAGATATGAGAAGAATGAACAGAAATTGAATAGAACTAGAGAGGAAGGTCCAGGTCAGAAAGGGTTAGAGAATGCTGGTCGGCTGCCTATGCTCAATTGGGAGTAACAGGTGTAAGTAAGTCAAATGATAATGAAACACTCATAATCCACAAAATAATTGAAAGACAATTAACTTCGAAAACATGAGATATTAATAGATAATATGTTTCATATATATATCACAATTATACTAACCTGCCCAAATAAACACCGACATTATAATACGTGCGAATATCTGTATTTCTCTGAAGTGTCACATTTTTGGTTAATAGAAATGGATCAGTATCTTGATCTTCTAAAATGTAGCAATAAAAAGAAGAAAATACCATTGAAATAAAGTTAGTAGTAATAGTATACTTTCTTTTCATAAATTCAATCGGTTATTGACTTATTTTTTTATTGAGATCATGAATTGATCAATGTTAGACCACCACTGAAAACCTGAAAGAACTAGACGGCTGTTTCGTCCTAGCATTGAACTCGTCAGCAGTGCTCGTCCGCGATCCCACACATGGGGTTCAAATCAGAGGTACTTGGTTCGAATCCTGTATCTAGGATCGTCGATGTGCACTGCTGGGGAGTTCGATACTAGAATTAAATGGCCGTCCAGTGCTTTCAGGTTTTCAATGGTGGTCTAACATTGATCGATTCATGATCTCAACCAAAATACTCAATAATCTCCACAACCCTATACTGACTATTGACATATTCTGAAGACGAAAAAGTATATATATATATATATATATATATATATATATATATATATATATATGGTTATATATATGGTTATAAGTGGGAAAAGATTTAATGAACATTTAACGTTGATTATCAATGTGAAGTTTATGTAGAATCAGTTAATTAGAACGGAGTACATATTGGAAAAATTGGAATTTGTATAACTAGTATTACTATTATTTGTATTTTCATAATGCAGGTATTAAATAGGTGGTTTGTGGTATATCTATATTGTTTTAATCATAAGTTCTTATTTAATATATTATCTGTTGATATAAGTTTTACCATTATTCAATTATCGTTTTTTGGTTATGGACTAATCGTTCAAGTAAATATCACTTACGTATGGTATGTCATGTCTATTGATTAAAGTATATAAATTTAGAACAACATATATAAGCGAACAATATTGTTTTCGATTAGATCCTCATCAGGCTTTACTCTCTTACACATAGAAGAAGCTATAGGAATTCGAGCCAACAAGCCGAGTCTTTGTGTTCAGAAGAAATTTGTAACACCCTTATCTCTCCCTTGGCCTTAATAAATGAATTTATTTATTATTTTCTTTTCAAACCTTCTCTTCGTTTATTAATTCTTCTTCACCCCCTCCTACCATTTTATTTTTATTTTTTCACGGTTCAATTATCTGAACACTTCTCATTACGTCATCTTATAATAATTTTTATAAATGTTATCTCACTATCTATATTTTTCTAATCATTGACCCATTTCCGATTATGTAACATTGATTTGAGCCTTTATTATTCCTATAAAAACTAATACACCTGTCATCACACTATCTATTTGTACTTTTCACATATTACTTACTTACTTACTTACGCCTGTTACTCCCAATGGAGCATAGGCCGCCGACCAGCATTCTCCAACCCACTCTGTCCTGGGCCTTCTTTTCTAGTTCCATCCAATTCTTGTTCATTTTTCTCATATCTATCTCCATTTCCCGGCGTAATGTATTCTTTGGTCTTCCTCTCCTCCTTCGACCTTGAGGATTCCATATGAGGGCTTGTCTTGTGACGCAGTTGGGTGTTTTCCTCAATGTGTGTCCTATCCACTTCCAGCGCTTCTTCCTGATTTCTTCCTCCACTGGGATCTGATTTGTTCTCTCCCACAGTAGGTTGTTGCTTATAGTGTCCGGCCAGCGGATCTGAAGTATTTTGCGTAGACAACTGTTAATAAACACCTGTATCTTTTGGACGATGGATTTCGTAGTTTTCCAGGTTTTCGCCCCATACAGTAGAACTGTTTTGACATTTGTATTGAAAATTCTGACTTTGGTGTTGGTTGCTAATTGTTTTGAGTTCCAGATATTCTTCAGTTGTAAATATGCTGCTCTTGCTTTGCCAATCTATGCCTTCACATCTGCATCAGATCCACCCTGTTCTTCGATGATACTGCCCAAATATGTAAAGGTTTTTACATCTTCCAAAGCTTCTCCGTCAATTGTGATTGGATTGGTACATGCTGTGTTGTATCGAAGAATCTTGCTTTTCCCTTCATGTATATTGAGACCTATTGCTGCTGAGGCTGCAGCTACACTGGTTGTCTTCTCCTGCATTTGTTGTTGCGTATGCGATAGAAGAGCCAGATCATCTGCGAAGTCTAGATCATCCAGTTGCATCCTAGCTATCCACTGTATCCCGTGCTTCCCTTCAGATGTTGACGTCTTCATGATCCAGTCGATCACCAGGAGAAAGAGAAAGGGTGAGAGTAAGCAACCTTGCCTGACACCGGTCTTTACTTCGAACGACTTTGTCAACTGTCCTCCATGCACGATTTTGCAGTTTAATCCATCATAGGAATTCTGTATGATATTGACTATCTTCTGAGGCACGCCATAGTGTCGAAGAAGCTTCCATAGGGTTGTTCTGTCTACGCTATCAAATGCTTTTTCGTAGTCGATGAAGTTGATATAGAGTGATGAATTCCATTCAATTGATTGTTCCACAATGATCCGTAGAGTTGCGATTTGGTCTGTGCACGATCTATCCTTACGGAATCCTGCCTGTTGGTCTCGAAGTTGGGCGTCTACGGAGTCCTTCATCCTGTTTAACAATACCCTGTTGAAGACTTTTCCTGGTATTGAAAGAAGAGTGATTCCCCTGTAGTTGTCACAGTTGCTGAGATCGCCTTTCTTTGGTATTTTGACCAGAAGTCCTTCTTTCCAGTCTTTTGGTACCTGTTCCTCATCCCAGATCTTTCACATATTATGTAATCGTTTTATTCATCGTTATCGTTGATTTATAAACTACCTTGATTGGTTTAATAATTTCGTATATGCATATAAATATTACTGTATATTAGAGTAAAGCTTGATGAGGATCTAATAGAAAACAATATTGTTCGCTTATATATGTTGTTCTAAAGTATATAAGCCCCCAAACGTCCTGGTACGGCCAAGAGTGGGGAGAGTTCGCTATTTCTCTCGAAATGCTCTCACATGGCCACGTGCATACAACCACTGTCTGGGAAGTCCTACTCACTGACTTCTCGTGGCAGCGGGTGTTGTTCACGAAGTTGAGAAGACAAAAAGTCCATATCCGGCACTTAACCCGGGTTGGTGGACACCAAGAGTTCACCTAAGAGAATTAAAAAACCCTGGTTCCAAACCATTGGTGCACATGGAATAAAGGATCCTGAAGGAACAAATGACGTATGAACCAATCGTTGGTCACCGGCTAGCATGGGACTGCATCTCCTTACGATGCTCCGCTACCTTGTAGATCAGATCTTTAGGTCAAAGGCTCTGGGTGTGGCTCCCGCCTCGGTTTGAGCACCCGTGCCGTATCACAGCCCTCACATAAATCAAATGGGGTTTATGTGGCGCATATATATCTGGTTCCCCCTTGTACCAATATCTATTTGGTCAAATAAATAAATAAATATAAGCCTATGAATGTTGAGTTACAAACATAAAAGTCATATCTGCTTTCCGTGTTTCGACTTCCAACTAATTACTAGGCTAGAAGTAATTTTCGTTGTGGACCAATAGGAGTAAGAATACTCGGTATCATTGCTCAAGGTTATTCATTATCGGTTAAAGAGCGTTATTGAGTAAATTGCGAGTCGATGGTCTAATAGGTGCGGAGTACATTCATGATAGTAAACTATATCCAGTGATCCGCTTAAGAAACATCAAAGAATACTAGAAGTCTTAAAACATTCCATGGCTTTTTTTAATTTCATTTATTAGTTGACAAGAACGGTACACAAATAAGTGTACTCCAAATTACTTTTTGATCAAAATTATTAATTAGTGAGAAATCTGCTAAAGGACTGAATAAGATGATATTTTATTTTCATCTATATGACTACAAACTATAATAACATTCATAAACAGTCGTATCACATCAGTTAGCCAGTCATAATCACCATACAGCATAGAACAGATACATGCGTTCACCAGAATTGCCGACCCGTATAAGCTCAACAAGATGAAAATAATAAGGTGAATATTAAAGTCGGAATATTCATTGTAACAATGATAATCAAAAAAACTAATTACCTATACTATGGGTTGAAGAGATGGATTGAGAAGTTAAGTATGAAGAAATACTGGAACTTGAGATCTAAAGAAACATAAGAAGTAAGTCCATCTATGACTTTGTGACTGGTTCTCAACCATATCATTCAACGTCTTCAACTACTGATTACCATCATCAGTTAATTCGCAATCAGGTAGTCTGTATCTATCAACATGACTCAAACCAGTTGCTAATAGATTTCTTCTCACTTATCCAAGTGGACAACGGTTAGGTATACGTAAAACATGCTTTAACCATCTCATTTAATGCAACTTTACAACCTCACCAACCGATTTGCAATCTCTACTTAATGGTCTATTTTTAAACTCTAAATTGCCCACTCAATCGTTTTACAAAACACAAGCAGTGTTCTAATGTTACCTATGATCAAATTTCATACATTCAAAAGTTTACTGACTGAGAGATTTCTTATCTGTAATTCATCTTTAATTTTTATAGTATCAAGGCTTTGATTGAATCAACCAAAGAACCAGTTTTTGAATCAACTTTTACTTCCTTCACGACCAGAGGTTTGTGAATAATTTTCAACTTATGATTTTTCATGAAGATGCTGATGAATAACAATAATAAGAATGGATCATCTACTTTTGTGAAAATTTGAGGTATAAATCCACGTTTGTTCATTTAGATTGATTTATAGAAATACTCTTTCATTGTCTTATTTAAGGTTTAATATTAGATGAAGTAACAATAAATTGTAGCAATTCAGTCATTGTATCACTGACAACTGATTTGATTTTGATAGGAAAGTGTTGATTAATTGATACAGACTTCAATGGATTGTCTTATATGAATCAAAATATGAACTGAACTAATCTAAAATGAACTTATCTTTTTACTTTTTTTTTTAAGTAATGAATATTCTATTAAAATACTTCAACTAATATCAAGATTATGACTTATTTATAGAATACCGTGTTAATTATTAGATTTTGGACAACAGTTTTACTGTATAAAGGATAATGATCTTACCAAAACGCTCGAATTCAAGTAGATT